CTTAGAATATTTTGATATTACAAAAAAGGGAGGTCATAACATAAGTTAGCGTGGAAATTCTGATTTTTCAGAGCCCTTCCATCTCTATCTGGAATATGTCAGTCAATAGAGATTGCATAGCTTGTGTCACCACTGCTCCCCGGCTGTGTTTTGCACAAGGCAGCTGGTGGGTTTACACCATGAATGCAACTGCCACTTCGATGCTGGAACACCGGTGTCAGCCAGTCAGAACAGTCTCTTCCCAGTGGAAATCCAGTTCGGAAATCCAGTTGCTGGGAGAGTAAAATGACAGAACGCTGTGATTATGAAGGATAGAGAAGTCTGACCTGCTGGTCTTCCCACCCAGTAGAAATCTACCCATGAAGTATTCTGCAAGGCCCACAGTGTCCACTCTTTGGCAATTCTAGGGTATCACTTCTCTTATTGATTAAAAAAAAAAAATCACTGTGATAATACACATATAATGTAAATTGTACCATTTTGACCATTTTCAGCATACAGTTCATCAGTGGGCAGTAATTCCCAGTATCTTACAACCATTACCACTGTCTATTCCCCAGATGTTTTCATCATTCCAGGCAGAAGCTCTGGGCTCGTAAGCTATCCATTGCTATTCCCTCTCCACCTTTTTAACCCTTGGTGGCCTTCAGTCTACTTCTGCCTCTTCCAAGTATTTTGTATAAGTGAAATCATGTGATTGTCCTTTTGTGTCTGGTTTATTTGACTTAGCATAATGTTTTCAAGATTCATCAATGTTGTGAATGTGTGAGAATATGCTCATACTTCTTACATTAAAATTCTTTTGTTACCTGCACGGGGATGCCTTCTTTCTTCTGTTTGTCTGATGATCACCCTTTCTTCTCTTCAATGCATTGCAGAGCCTCCTCTTCCAGAAATAGACTTTTCTACAATGCAGGGAGGGATTCTTCCACGCCTGAGACTGAAGAAAGCTAAGGAGGACAATGGACCCATCAGGTCAGTAGCCATCCATTTTCCAAGGTTGTCCAATGATCTCCATGGCAAGTGTTGGAAACATTGACTGAAGAGGAAGCTTCTCTTTTGGCATCTGCAATAGAGTGGTTGGAGCAGTGTGGTCAGAAGGCCTTTTTGGCTTTCTTGGGCACTTGCTGGGTCTTTAATTCTAAGCGGCACCCATCCAAATGAGTAATGAGATGTCTAAGGCACCAAGACCAGCATTTGGGCAGCTTAGCTCGAGAGGTTAGGTCACTGGAAGAGTACTGGTTGATTGTCTAGTAACACTGTCTTTCACATGCACATCTCCACGCACATCTGTTGGTGAGGGGCATCATTCACCAGGGGCAGAACATACTTTCCTCTATTTAAGTGTGGTCTTGGGGCATGTGTAGTGGTTTCTGAAGGAGTCATATGGAAAAGCCTTTTAATTCATCCTAGATGCTATTAAGAGGGAATTCACTAACCTCAGTGAAGGACTCTATTGTGTTCAATTAGGCATTTTATTTGCAAAAATTATAGTAAGACTGGGAAAGTGAAATGATGCCATTTTTAGAGCGGAAGATTGAGGTTCCTGTGGAAAGATGTTCACAGGAATAAGTCAAGGAGATGGCAGTAATATGGTCATCTTTGGCCTGACCTCCACTGCCTGGGTCTCTCCTTCCCCTTCCTTCTAAGTAAACTCAAGGTAAAAAATGAAGAGAGAGACAAGGATGGTGTGGGAAGAGCACAAGGAACTGTGTGATGATGCTTGGGTGAATTAGTGGTGGGAATTTCACAAGGAAATCATATACTCTACAAAAACAAAGGATGATGTAATAAATATATTTTTTAAAAATGAAGAGAGATATTACATAATTGTGAAAAAGCAAGTCTGGAAGTGTTATCTATTTGAAACTTATGCTTCTTAATGCATCTGAGGCTTTTCCTGCCTTTCTGTGAGATAGCGTTCAGTAAGTACTCAGAGGTCTTTCCAGGGATGGATATTGAATATGTTGTTCTGGTCCTTGATTCCTGGCAAGTTACTGGAAGACACTGTAGTTGGTGCTATAAGGAGAACAGAAGTTGTGATATTACTGCCCAAGAGAATTTATAAGAGCAAACGTGGTATTTAAGCCAGTTACATAAGGCAAAAGAAAAAGCCAAATGACTGCCTGGCCTTGTGGCTGTGTACTGGCCAGTGCCTCCAAAACAGGAAGTGGGTCTGTGAGTCATTCAAGGGAGGTGGTGGTGAGAAAGAGGGGAGCAGTCTTTCCACAAGGGTCATGTTTCATGCAGCCACAACTGCTTCCTTTTCGTCATCAGGACTAATTACCATAGCAAGTTGGGCGGCTCTCTGTCCTGACTACCTGGTTTGAGCTGGGGGGGTAGCAGTTTTGCCAGTGAGACAGGTCTGAATGCTTTGTGGGTTTTGGGGGGCAAAGTGGGTGGGGCCCCACTGAAGTGGGGGCTCTGGGACTGACTCCCTTCTTTCAACTGGTGATCTATGTGGATGATAAGCCCTCTTGCCAGGCTATGTCCACTTAGGGTCTCCTCTACCTGCCAGATCACAGAATCGCCTGTTGAACTTTACCAACAATCCAAAGTCTCATATTACGCTCTAGCAGGTTTCATTCTGTAGGTCTAACCTGGGTGTTGGGTGTTGGTCTGTTTAATTATCAAGGAAATTAAATGATCATGATAATTGGAAAATCTTGCTTCTTGCTTGGCCAATAATGCTCCTGAGGGCAAGGGTAGGAACCAGAGTGCAGGTGAGCCTTGAACTTGTACTTGAGCACCATGACCTTCGTGGAAGGACCAGGCTTTAAAGATGTGCTGGTGGACAACATGGGAGTGCCACCACACAGGGTCATTACTCAGCATTGATAACATTTACCTGAGGTCCCTAGGAAAGGGTGTTAAAAGTGCTTCCTGTGTGCACTGGAGGCTTGGTAAATGTTTACTGGTGACTGAGATGACAACTCAGTGCCTGTGGGCTTTGCTTTGTACCTTTTGTAGAAAGCCCTTGACTGAAAGTGAACCCAGAGGAGGCAAAAACCAGGACCTTGAGGACGCCCAAAAGGCTGGAAGCCAAGACTTTCTAAATCCAGCAACTTCTGTGGGGAAGGATACCCTTTTCTTGAGCAGTGGCTCATGGGTCCTTATTATTATTATTTTTTAATATATTCATTACATCACTCTTCATTTTTGTACAATGTATGATTTCCAGCTCCTGGGTTCTTTAGGAGGGGGGCTGGGCATGAGGAATGTGGTGCAGGAAGTGCATATATTTAGTGGTAAAATATAACTATGGGTTTTAGAAATGACTCTAATCATATTTGGATACGTGTTTCTCTTCTTTACCAAAATTTCAGCTAGAGAAACATGAATGAGAGTCAGTCGTAGCCAAGACTGTGTAAGGATTTGCAAGGATGCAAGAGCAAATCCCTGCTTCAAATCCCTGTTTTCAAGCCTGATAGCAAAAGCAGATGTTCACACACTTACTGTGAGAGGCAGGAGATCAATCCTGACTGCAGGACTCCAAAGGAGGGCAGTTCCGTCCCTGCAATTTTATTCTTCCAGTTCTTTTCACTGATAGATTTTCTATTTGGTAGATAAATAGCAGTAAACCCTGTGACAGCCGATGATGCGTGTGTTTATGTGTTTACCTTCGGGGAGCACTTTCATGTGGACATAAGACATTTGACTTGTCTGGCTCCTTCAGGATCTTGTCAGACTAATTGAGCTCATGGTGAGCTTTTCACTTTGCACTTCTTGCTTCTCATTTATTCCACATGAAATTTGTACCACTCCGGACCAGAGAGCATGTGGTCACATGAGTTCTGCTGAGATTGCCATGTAAGTGTCTGAAGCCTGTACATTAGCTCTTGTGGGCAGCTGGCCACCACCTGATTGCTAAACCCTTCCTGCGGCTGAGCTTTATTTGTCCATGTGTGGATCACCAACTAGGTCAACCTTAGGATACTCTACCTCAGGCAGGATATGTGCGAACCCTTTTCCCAGCTGGAAGGTTGGCCTTTTTCCACAGCTGGAGCTTGTTAGCCACCACCGACACTGCAGGTTAAAATGGATGTTGCTTACCCCCATGTTTATTGCTGCTTTATTTACAGCAGGAAAGACATGGAAGCAACCCAAATGCCCAAAACTAGATGACTGGATTAAAAAGATGTGGTACATGTATACAGTGGAATATTACTCAGCAATCAAAAAGATAATACTCATGCCTTTTGCAGCAACATGGAGGGAGCTGGAAGAGATCATGCTTAGTGAAATAAGCCAGAAAGAAAAAGAAAAATACCGGATGGTTTCACTCATAGCAGGAGCATAAAGGATGGGGGAGTGGAGGGGAATAATAATGAACTCCTATATACCAGAGACATTTTATGGAGGTAGAGTGGGGAATTGGATCAAAAATGGGGGTGGGTGGGGTAAAGTGCACTGGACTATAGTGATGGCACGTGGGTGAATTGGTGGTGGGAAGCCCAAAGGGATTACAACTGAGATGGAAAAGGCACAAAATGATGTAAAAATAAACTA